ATCAGAAAAAGATTTCAGTTTTCGAGAAAACAATATTATCACGAGTCACATCTGAATCGCAATAAAAAGAAAAGAAAGACGTGGGATCAAGATATTCAATCGACATTGCACTATCTCAAGGGGTTCTCGAGTAAGTCTGGCGGCAGTCTATCAAGATTCGAAGACTATCTTCTTGCAGTTACAAGTCATTGGGAGGAGTTAACTTCGCATTATTCAAAGCGAAAATACGCCAGGATGAAATTCGACATCTACATTTCGAAACGAAAGTCAGTCGACAGGTTTATCCGTACAATGAAAGGAAAGGGAGAAATAGAACCTGTTATCGCATATGGAAATGCAAGGTTCCCGTCTACAGGACGTCGAGGAGAAAGGCCTGTACCGGTCAGGTGGATAAGAAGAAGATTCGAGAATCACTACAGAGTCGTAGATGTTGACGAATACCGTACTACCAAGTGCTGTAACGATTGTGGTTCTGAGCTCGATGTGCTTCGACGGATTGAAAATACAGGGAAAGAACCAGACGAGACCTGTAGGTTGAAAACAAGGAAAAGTGAAGTACGAGGATTGAAATTTTGCAGATCATCGAGGTAATGTCAAGTTTTGTATACTCCTGTAATTCACCTTTTCATCTAACTGTTATCGTGACAGCTGTAAAGGAAAGCCGATCAAATCCAGGGACTTGAATGCTGCACTGAATATACTCACTTGTTTCAATGTGTTTCCTGAAAGACCGAATCACCTACGTCGCCCCTGAGGTGAATTCAATGATTGTTGTCGCCCCCTCCCTACCCAGACTGCGTCCCTCGGGACTCGATGCCTAATTCCCTGCCTGCCTGCCTGCCCGGTGCCTGCCTCCATTATGATCCGATGTTTACGACATGTGATCATTGAAGTGACTGACTGGCATCATTTGGTAGGATTCATGTAAGGCTCCAACAACATCCGAAGACAATTTGGCAAAAAAAAACAACTGCCGTTGTATGACGGAGAGTCGCGGCTCTCAATCATACGACGGCAGTTCTGTGCGAAAACTTAGTTCGTCGTTCAGAAGGGTATTCACATATTCCGTCACATCATGTCACATCATGAGGGAGAGTACCCGTGGTAGATAGATTCGTGGCGTTTATCTATTATAGACTGCGGCAGGTAGACCACCGACCCCATCCTGTGACACTGGCGTAGGTGATAGTACCGGTATTTTTGCTACCAAAATGGAAAGCTAGATCCTACCAGGAAAAGAAAGAGATCCTACCCTGAGAAACGCGCTGCTGTCTCAGGCTTCTACGTTCGCCATGGCCAAAAGGTCGAAGCATGGGAGTGCGGCAGGGAAAATCATCCGCAAGCTGAATCAAAACAAGTCTCGTAACAGCCTTGAAAGTCAAGTCAATACCAACCTTCCGCCTATCACAGTCGAGATGTTGAGGTTTCAAAGATAGAAGATCTTTCATATATCAATACTTGTACATATCGCAGTGCATACAACAACATTTTCGTCGCGGGGAGATCGAGTCAACTCAAAGGGATTTCTGAAGGAAGCAAAACGTACAACATAAACTGCGACGTTTAGTTCGACCTCTATTTTCGAATCTTACCTATTACCCCAATCATGAATTTGAGAGAAATTTTGCAATGCGCGCTGGACCTTGACGATTCTTCGGAAGAAGCAACGTACGGTTCGCTCGTCATTGCCTTAGATACATACGGTAGAGAGGAGGACGAGGATGCCAGAAAGCAGCTAGAGCGTCTTGTTCTGATGGAAAATGATCTTGTACATTTTGAAATCACTCAATGTACCTTTAGGATTGTACTGAAGCTCTGGCAACTTGAAACTGCTTTGTCGCTCAGGCAACAAATGTGGCCACCGGACCAGGCTGAAAGCAGCAACACCAGGCTGGTGGCGATGGGCTTGATAGTCGCAGGAGACAAGGCGGTCTTCGTCGACATCGCCACTCATATTGCTAAGCAATGGCAGCTGGCCAAGGAGGCTAACATCTTACTAGCCCAGTGCGGAGTACCAATCTTCCTTTGTTACGCGGAGCTTCAGACTGTCTATAGCATGTTCAATGACGTGAGAACAAGCCTCAAGGTTGAGATGATGATGATGCCCCTAATTCTCGACATCGGTGACTCGCTCCTTTGAAAGAACTTCGAGACGACGTCGTTCAAACTGTGGAGAAACACACGGTATGTAGAGCACGGTGTTGGTAGCGGAGGCTCAAGTCAGCCTTGAGGCGGCCACTCCGAGGGATTGACAAGAATGGGGCAGGAGCCTGTCAGAAAGGATGTGCAGGAGCTCGAGAAAGAGGTGCAGGTGAGAAACTGATCTTGACAGAAATGGAGGAGCTCACGATTGTGCCAGGAGGTCAAGAACGAGGTGCAGGAGGTCAAGAACGAGGTGCAGGAGCTCGAGAGCAAGATGGATACGGGGCTATCGGTGAACCGAAACTGATCTTGACAGAAATGGAGGAGCTCACGGTTGTGCCAGGAGGTCAAGAACGAGGTGCGCGACCTCAAGGCAAGCATGCGCGAGCTTGCGGAGGATATGCGGCAGGTGGGTCAAGAGAGGCGGTGCGGAGTATGATCCGTGTATAGATGATCCGTCAAGCCCTTGGGGATATTTCGAATCGCAATTTCTCGCAGCAGCAGCCTTACGGCGGCGGTGGCACGACTGGCGACTCCGAAGCCTGACTACGGCATGGCGATGTAGCATCACTCTGAAGCTATAGTAGAACAGTATGTACTTTCAGTTATTCTTTCTCAGTCATCCAGTCAGCCATCCGATCTCTCTATAGTGCCTCTCCTGTTTAGTGTATAAGAACATTTTTATCGCATTGCATACAATTTTTTCCACGATATTTTCTTCCCTGCTTTATTCGACCCGATCGTGAATCGGGCCGCCTGGGCTGCTCAACTCGTGACTCGTGACTCGTGACTCAGTTTCAGCGGCCCGGCTTGTCGGCTGAGCAGCCCGGGGCCGGCCTGCCAACTGTCAATGAAAGAAATGACTCTTTTTATCTTTTTTTTTCGATCTCAAACCAACCGCCGGCGGAATGCGTTCAAGATCAACTTGAGACAGAAGAAGAGCCAAGGCAAGACAGACAGACAGACAGACAGACAGACAGACAGGCAGGCAGGCAGGCAGGCAGGCAGGCAGGCAGGCAGGCAGGCAGGCAGGCAGGCAGGCAGGCAGCCAGGCAGGCAGGCAGGCAGGCAGCCAGGCAGGCAGGCAGGCAGGCAGGCAGGCAGGCAGGCAGGCAGCCAGCCAGGCAGGGAGAGAAAGAAGCGCAGAATCGTCGCAGAGACTTGAGAGCGAGAAGGCACATGGTGGTTCAGTAAGACGAGCACATGGTGGTTCAGTAAGACGAGCACAACAGCAATTCCAGTCTGTGAGTAGAGGGAGAAGACATGCCGTCGAAGAAGAGCGCACTCGGAGCTCAAGCTGTCCTCCTGTGGGATGGGATTTTGGTCATCTGGGGAGGCAGGGGTTTGAGGTGCAGCTTTCGTCCAGTCTCCTCAAGACCGAGGACAGCAAGATTCCCTCGCTCTTCACAGAGGCAGGCAAACTTGCCTACGATGAGATGAGGAAGGTGATGCCGCAGAAGAAGCTGACGAGGAACGAGGGCAGTGCGGACAAGACAGAAGAGAACGAGGAGGCGGTGGAGGCTTCAGGAGGTTCTCAGATGTACGGGTCGCTGCCGCCCATTACGATGCTGCTGAAGCCCAAGAAAAAGTCGAGAATAGGAATGAAGAAGAGGCAGAAGGAGAGGAGCGATCTTGCCGCTGAAGAGCATGCCGAACAATGCCGAGCAAGGCTCGAGCAGTCGCTCAGCAGGCTGAAAGGTCACGCGGGGCGAGCACAGCTGCCGTTCAACACCAGCATCCTGTGGCACGAGAACAACTTCCTCGACCCCTCAGCAGCCAGGGAGTCGCTGCTAGTACGGGAGAAGAGCGCGTCCTTCAGGGAGTGGAGGGAGGACGCGGTGCGGCAGTTCGCTGAGCAGGAGAGAAAGAAGTTCTCCAAGTTCGAGGACGAGGCGCCCGAGCTGTCACATCCCTGCATGGAGAGCCCGCGGCTTCTGACCGAGGAGGCAGCTGAGAAGCTGCTGGGGCAGGGTAGGGAACTTGTGCTGAAGCTGTCCAAGAGATACAACGAGGGGCACAAGCAGCTCATGGAGAAAGAGAAGGCGCTGGAAGCTTGTAAGAACGAGAACGCCGACGTGAAGGCTGTGGCGGCGACCAAGATCGAGGGCGGGGAAGTGGACGGGAGGAGGGAGAGAGTGCAGAAGAAGCTCGACGAGACCCTGCGGTCCATAAAGCTGGTGCAATACGAGAACAGCCGCTACGAGCACCTCGCCAACAGGTTGACAAAGTTCAGCAAGGAGGACAAGGAGGAGCTGGCGAAGCTGGAGAAGAGCGTGAAGAAGCACAACATGGACCTGATGGCGCTGAAGCTCAAATTACGTGACGAGGTGAGAGAGGAGATTGACGATAGGACGAGGACAAGAACGAGGACGAGGAGGGAAGGAGGAAGAGGAGGGAAGGAGGAGGAGGAGGAGGAGGAGGAGGAGAAGTCGAGGAGGGACTCGCGTGCTATATTTGAAGAGTCTGCAGGTCCCGCGGGTGGAAAAGGAGCTGAAAACGAACGAGCTGAAGGAGCTGAAGCTGATGATTCACACGATGAGGGTGCGGTACGAGGAGGAGCTGGAAGAGAGGAGGAGCCTTGCAAGGCACACCAACGAGCTCAAGAGCAACGTCGTGAACGCAGAGAAATCCTACAAGGAGATGGAGAAGAAGCTCGAGAAGGTTTGCGGCCTCTGCTCCTCCCACCTGCGTTCCAGCTGACCCCTTAGCCTGTTAGATGTACGACCAGAACGTGCAGTCCCCACGACGAGTGGAGCTGCAGAGGAAGATCAAATTGTACGAGGAGACGTTCGATATGATGATCTGCAAGCTAGGTCTCATTCTCTCCCTTCCCTCCATCCTCGTCCTCTTGCCCCTCCTGCTAGAGTGTCGCTTCCAAAGTTGTTTCCTTCCTACCCCTCGACCACTCTCCGTCTTGCCCGATACTTTCTTTCTTCGTGTTGATAAGGCTGAGCAGGCGATACGGACATCGACAGGTATAGGAGGAGAGGAGGAAGAAGAAAATGGAGGGACGAACGAAGAGGATGGAGGGGCAAAGGAGAAGCAAGAAGAGGAGAAAGGGGAGGAGGGGGAGGAGGAGGAGGGGGATGACGGCTGGGCAGGCTGGTGTCTCTGTTCGTAGGACTCCGAGGAGTTCGACAGACCTGGGAGGAGACAGTGAGAGACGGAGAAGCTCGTTGCGAGGAGCTGAGAAGAGAGAGAGCTCTCCTACAGGTCTTGCTCCTCCTCTCTCATCCTCTCTCCCATCTTCCTGGTCGAACATCCTCTTGACGTCTCTATCTCACCAGTCTTCTCCCTCCCTTCTCCTCCCTCCCTTTCCCTGCTGATTCCCAGCTGCAGGAGACGGCGCAGTCATTGTACGGTCACGGGACGAGCTCGAAGGAGGGCGAGCTGGAGAGAAAGCTGAGGTCCGTTACGAGCAGTTACGACAAGTGCGTCGAGCACGAGCAGCGGCTGCGAGTCAAACTTGAGGATTACCACAAGAAGATCGGGTTCCTACGCCAGAGTATGTCCACTGACTGACCTCCTGCTCCCCTGCTGCTCCTGCCACTGCTTGTCTGATCCTCCTGCCCTTCCTGCTCCTGCTGCTGCTCCTCGTCCTCGTCCTGCTCCTGCTCCTGCTCCTGCTCCTGCTGTTCTGCCGCTACCGCCGCTCCTTCTTCTGCGCATCTGATCATCCTGCTGCTGCCCCTGCCATTCCTCCTCCTCCTCCTCCTCCTTCTCCTCCTTCTCTCCTGGTTCCATTGCTCCTACTAATTGCTGTTCCCCTGCCTGTTCCGCATCTCCCCTTGTCGCTTCTCGCTCTCCTTCCTCTTCTCCTGCTGTCTCATATTGTCCTCCAGGGCTCATGCACGAACTTTATCGATTTCGCTCATTTCGCGTTCACTTCCTCGACCCAACAGCCCACGATGACCTAGACCATGAGGTCTTTCCCCCTTCAAGTCCTCCTTCTCCTCCTCCTCCTCCTTGTTCTCCTTCTCCCTCCCAATCTCCTTCTCCTGCTTCTCCTTCTCCTCCTTGATCCTCTTACCCCTCTGGCTCCTTCTCCTGCTTCTGCTCTACTCCTTCCGCTCCTTACCTCTCCCTCTCTCTCCCTCGTTCACTCACTCCTTCCTTCCCTCCTTTTTCTCCCTCCCTCCCAATCTCCTTCTGCTTTACACTTGACTTAGCTTTCTCACTTGCTCTCCCTCAGATCCTGGAGATTATGGCCCAGTGGCGGGACGTTCTTATCTTCGTACATGCCATGGTCCTCTATCCCCTGTGCCCATTTTCTCCTCCTCATCTTGTTTCCTCTTCTCCTTCTCCTTCTCCTTCTCCTTCTTCTCCTACTCTTCTCATCTGTTTTTTCTCCTCTCCTCTCCTCTCCTCTTCTTCTCTTCTGTTCTCCTCTCTTCTCCTCTCTTCTCCTCTCTACTCCTCTTCTTCTCCTCTTCTTCTCCTCTCTTCTCCTCTCTTCTCCTCTCTTCTCCTCTCTTCTCCTCTCTTCTCCTCTCTTCTCCTCTCCTCTCCTCTCTTCTCCTCTCTTCTCCTCTCTTCTCCTCTCCTCTCCTTCTTTCCTGCTCTCGTCGTTATCTCTATCCTTCTCCTCGTCCCTTCCTCCTGTTTCCTCGTCTTCATCTCAACTTTCCCTCTTCTTCTTCCTACAGTGCGAGGAGCGCAAGGACATGGTCCGCTCCCTGCTGGTCGAGGAGGCGAACGGAGAGGACAGTCGGTCTGTGAGCGCCGAGCCGAGCACGATGGAGGATGACCTGACCAGCGTCTTGCGCGAGGTGAAGGAGGGGAGGAAGGAGACGTTGGGGGAGAAGAGGAGGGGCTGCTAGAGGAGGAGCGAAGAGCGAGGGACTCATTCTTGGAGCAGGTCAACTTCACAGTGGAGTGCCTGCTGTACACCGTAGAAGCAGCGGCGGGAGAGGAGGAGGAGGAGGAGGCGCCGGACCTCGAGACGCTGATGAGCATGTACGAGAGCATGGTGCCGTCCGTGGAGAGCATGCAGATGGATGTCAAGACTGCGGTGGAGCTGGAGGACAGGCTGAGAAGAATATCCGAGCTGTGCAGCGGGAGGGACGAGCAGGAGGAGAAGCTGGAGAAGCCTCGACTGCTCTCTTCTGATCAGACGCGCTACCTCTGGCTCAAGGCCAAGGTACGATCCACTGCAATGAGGAGGATAGAAGGAAGGAGCAGGAGCAGGAGCAGGTGCAGGGGCAGGGGCAGGGGCAGGGGCAGGGGCAGGGGCAGGGGCAGGGGCAGCAGCAGCAGCAGGGGCAGGGGAAGGGGCAGGGGCAGGGGCAGGAGCAGGAGCAGGAGCAGGAGCAGGAGCAGGAGGAAAAGGGGGGGAAGAAGGTTCTTATGACTTGCTGCAGAGAGGAGTGTTGGAGATGAAAGATCGACTCCTGCACCGACTCAAGTCTGTCTCTCGGCATGTACAGGTCATTCTCTCCTCCTCCTCCTCCCTCCTCCCTCCTCCCTCCTCTTCCTCTCTCCTCCCTCCTCCCTCCTCCTCCTCCCTCCTCCCTCCTCCCTCCTCCCTCCTCCCTCCTCCCTCCTCCCTTCTCTTCCTCTCTCCTCCCTCCTTCCTCCTCTCTTCCTCTCTCCTCCCTCCTTCCTCCTCCTCCCTTCCTCTCTCCTCCCTCCTTCCTCCTCCTCCCACTCTTCCTCTCTTGTTCCATTCCTTCTCTCATCCCTTCCTCTTCTTCTCTTCTCCCTCCTCCCACCCTCCTCCCGTTCTCTTCCTCTCTCCCCTCTGTTCCTCCTCCCTCCTCCCTTTCTCGTCTACTCTTCTCCCTCCTCCCCTCTCATTTGTTCCGCAGGACGCAGCGGATGTCCCTGCTCCTCCTGTCAACACCAACGGCCGCCCAGCAGCTCTTCCAGTTCACTTTGGTGAAGCAGCAGCAGCGGGCAGCACGAAGAATTTGAAGAGCGAGCAGAGGGATGAGAAGGAGGAGAAGGGGAGAAGGAGAAGGAGAAGGAGAAGGAGAAGGAGAGCCAAAGGAAGAAGAAGGACAAGGCAGCAAGCGCAGAGGATGGGTACATGGTAATGTCTTCTCTTTTCCTTCTCTCCTCCTCCTCTCTTCCTCACGTGCAGCAGGTCGAACTGGATCAGGAGGAGGAGGTTTATCTCTCAGAAGCCCTCGCGTCTCCTCTAGAAGACAGTCTTGAATCTATCGAGGTTAGTCGCCAACCCTCCCCACTCCTCTTGCCTTTCCTTTCCTTTCCTTTCCTTTCCTTGCCTTGCCTTCAAGTCTGTACAACTCTGTCTGTTCCTCCTGCTCATTGTTTTGTTTTTCATCAAACCCCGCTCATCTTCCTCCTGCTCCTGCTCCTGTGCTTCCTCCTCCACTCTTGCTCCTCCATCCATCCTCTCCTCTGACGTGGCCACAAGGCGGGAAGGAAGCACAAAACTCTCTCGGGCGTTCCTCTCGTCGGCCTCATCCCTGAGAAACTTGTCGCCGACACCCTCAAGTCCGTCATGTGGCCCTCCAGTTCCCATCAGCGACGCGTCACCATCCCGAAGAGAGTCATGCGGAAAGATAGAAGGTCGATATCCTCCTCTTCTCTCCCCTCCCCTCCCCTCCCCTCCTCTGCCCTGCTCTCCACTCCTGTCTTCTCCTCTCCTCCTCCTCGTATCTGCTCCTCGCTGTTACTCGTCCACTCAAAGAGCTTCAGGCTGGGGCTGGACCTGGGCATGGCGAGGGAAGACTCGGACTCAGAGTTCAGCAGCGGCAGCCAGCAGTCCTTCGACTACGATGAGGTAAGCGAGCCAGTCAGGGGTTTGCTCCTGCTCCTGCTCCTGCTCCTGCTCCTGCTCCTGCTCCTCCTGCTCCTGCTCCTGCTCCTCTTTAGGTTTCTCCTTGTCCTATGCTGGAGCTGGAGAGGGGAGAGGAGGTTGACGGGCGTTCAGGTGCTGGAGGAGCTGGAGGACGTGTACGCGGATCGCAACTCAATCAAGAAGAAGTCGACGAGGGTACGAGAGCAGAAGCTCGTGCTGCATGTGACTTGAGTACAGGCGGGAGACCGGAAGACAGCCAAGAAGAAGTAGACGAGGAGGAGGAGGAGGAGGAGGAGGAGGAGGAGAAGGAATGGCGGTATACGCAGGTCATCTATTGTACATTAGGATACAAGATCATGAGAACCTATCTACATAATCTACAGGAGGATGACAGAGGGGGTGGAGGTCAGCAGGCGACGGATGTACTCCTTCTTCTGCTCCTTCCCCTTTAGCTGATCCCACTCCCTGTAACTCTCGTCAGCCAACTCCTCCTCTCCTCCTCCTCGCATGTACCAGTAGGGGAGAATGCGGAGGTCGAACCCGAGCTGCTGCATGTGCCGGTGCTTCATCACCGTCTTGCCGAGGGGGATGTGCGTCCCCACGATGAAGTGCGAGGGCCCGTCGACCTCGATCGCCGTGCGCTTGTCGCGCAGGAGGAGGTCGAGCGAGTAACCGCTCCTCTCGTCGATGAACTCCTCCACAAACTCAATCTGCATCTCCGACAAGATCGCCGCCACGTCCTTCTGCAGGCGGGACGGCTTGTGCTGCTCCATCTCGAGCTCTAGAGTCACGCTTCCTCGTTCCAGCGTCACGCTAGCCCGCGCCTTCTTCTCTCTTCCTCCTCGTGGGGGAGGTTGGCACGGCTTCGCCTTCAGCAGACCTCGACTGGGGTCCAGCCAGCCCTCCAGCTCACAGGTGAGAAGAAACTGATACGCCTGGCGACGGAAATTGGAGTCCATGCTGGCAAGATGAAGGTCGAGGCCTTCAAGCAGCCACCCAACAAACTGAGGCCTCTGCGCGGAACGTAAGGGGAGGAACAGGAGAGGAACAGGAGAGAAGCAGGAAGAGGAGGGCAAAGGTTGAGAGGAGTGAAGAGGAGAGTAGTAGGGGTGAGAGGGAAGGAAGGAAGAGGAGGGTCGCGGTTACCTGGACGTTGAGGACGGCAGAGGACCAAGAGATTAGTGCGATCTCTTCCGGGAGAAGCGACTCGACAGGGAGAGCGAGCAGCGAGTTCATCAGACGGTCAACGATGTGCTCCTCCTGCTCCCTTGTCAACAATACTCGACCAAACAGATCCGGCGCAGGAAGAGCAGGAGGACGTGACATGAAGGAGGAAGGAAGAAGGAGGAGGGAGTAGCTCTGGTGGCCACCTGCAGGTTCAACGTGGCGATGGCATGCAGGAGGCTGGCGATCTGACGGCCGTCAAGCTGCAGGTTCTCGTTGTCGAGCTCCTGGCTCAGCTTGAGGAGGAGGCGGTCGACGGCGTCGGCCTTGATCCCGGCCTTGGCGCAGCTGTTGAGGACGATAGCAATGGAAGTTGCGTTGAAGGAGGAGGAGGGAAGCTGCGGGAAGATGTTGCTGTCAAGGTAGCTGAAGACCTCTCGAGTGCACTGCTCGGTAGGATGCATCCTCCCATACGCGTTCATGATGATGGCGACTGCCTGCGCATCGAAAGCCTCCCGGGGAGTGGAGGTGACCACCTGAGCAACGAGTGAGAACGCAGGCAGAAGCAGAGGGCAACGAGGAAGGAGTGTAGGGCTGGGAGAAAGAAGGTCAGTACCGTTGCCATATGCTGGAAGAGCTGCTTATCCTTGAAGTTCAACTTTGCAAACCCGTTGAGAACGTTCTCAATGTGTTGCGGAAGAAAACTGTCCGGCGGCAAAGTCTGTGCGATGCGGGAGAGGTGCTTCATGAGCAGCTCGTCTTGATAGTCAACCTGTCGCCATCGTCATCTTCTCCCTCCTCTCTCCTGATCAACTTCACCTTGGCACATGCGTTGATGATGAGCGCAATACTCTGAGACTCGAGGATAAATTCCATCTGACGGACGATGAACGACATCCGTTTGAACAAAGATTCATCGCGAATCTGCAGAAATTGTCATACTCGCAGTGCCTCTTCTCGTTCCCTTCACCTCCGTCTTGGCGATGGAGTGCATGATTGTGCTCACTGATTGAGCGTCAAACAGCAGAGGATCGAGCGACTTGGCGACTCTCGTCAGCTTCAGAAAGACTTTCTCGTCCACGAATCCGGTGCACACGAAGCCATGGAGGGAGCTGGCGAGCGAGGACGGGTCGAACTGCTGCATGTGCAGTCCCTTCAGCGCAACTGATAGATGTCGCAGTAGCTGGCGGTCGGTCGAAGTGCCCGAGAGCTTGCCGAAGGCGTTGAGGAGGTTGGCGACCGCCTGAAGATCGAAAGTTTCTGGTGGGTGAGAGCGAACCGCCTGAGTCAGCCAAGCGAGGAGCTGGACAAGCAGGTCAGGCCCAACCAGGACAACCTCAGCCCTCCATCCTCCCTCTCACCTCCTGGTCTCTGATCTCAAGCTTAGCCAACGCGTTGGCAACGATTGCCAAATGTCTTGGTAGCCAGTCCGCCGCCGGGATGCTCCGAGCCACTTTGCTGAGAAAGCCAAACAGCTGGAGGTTGAGCAGGTCGTGCCGGGCATACGCGTTCATGATGTTGGCGATCGCTTGTGGACTGAAATCTGAGGGAGAAACATCCAACGCACAGCTCGCAAGGTTGTCAAACAATGCCTCATCTCTGATTTGCAACTTCGCAAACGCATTGACGATGATGGAAATCGCTTGAGCACAGAAATCTTGCCGCCTGCTGTTTGAGAGGACAAGAGCAACACTCGAGAGGGAGGCAAACAGTTTCTCATCGCGTATTCCTGCTCGTGCAAATCCATTGAGAATCACTGAGACTGCTTGGACGTCGAGGATGTCAACGTCGCCATGGATAGCTGAGCACAGGGTCAGGCGTGAGGGCCCAACCAGCAGCAGCTCTTACCGCTCTCGGCAAGAATTCGCGCACGATCGCCAGCCGCCTTGAGCAGTCGAGTGTGACTCCTGGAGTGCGCGATGGCATTGACGATGAGTGAGACCAGTTTCCCGGACATGGCAGACACGTCTTCGAGTGCTACTGAGCCGAACACCTGCATCTGAAAGGAGAGCCTGCCAGCATGGCTTAAGGAATGCACAGCCGACCCATGGCTGCCATACCTTGTCTCAAGACTAGGATTGGTCGCTTGATGACGAAGTCTCTTCAAGCGGTTCAGAGCCCCCACGGCGTCGGATGCTGGGATTCTACAGTCGTTGGCATTTGCCGCGTAGGGCTCCAGCGTGTCCAGCAACTCGGAGAGTCGAGAAATCGCTGTCAAGTTCTTGGGAAGCCCACCAACCCCCTTCACATCTGAGACACAAGACATTCAGATTAAGAATTATGCCAGGAAACTCTACATGATGGCTCAGCGCTTCGTGTCTGCTTCACGTCATGCCTTTCCTTGACCTTGTCACGTCAATTCAGCGAACGAAAGACCGAAATGCTGCAAGTCACCTTCTTGGCCTTGGGGGAAAACCCTTTGCTCGCGCTCTCGTTGGTAAGAATTCTCTTTAGCGAAGGAGAGGAATGGGCGTTGGTCTCCTGCGCCAAATCGTCAGCGAAGAGCAGCAAGAAGCAACTGCGTCACCGAGAGCTCTGAGACTGACAGTCCGACGCTATCATCCGAGAAACCGGAGAACTGAGATTCTACCGAGTTGACCGAGAGGCTCTTGTCTCTCAAGTTCAGCTTCTCCTGCAGCCGCTGCTTCTCCATGGCAACCTATGCCAAAGTCACGAGGGAGCACACAGATCGTCTTCAAACCTCTTGCGACTCGACTGAAGCTCGGCCGTCAGACGGCTTCTCTGGCGTCTTTTTGTCCCGAGCTTTCATCCGCTCACTGAGGACTTTGAGCATTTTCTTCTCCTGTGCTGACAACTGCCGCCTGGTTTCATCCCCTCCTTCTCGAGTGTTGTCTGCTATCCCCACCAACCCACGGCTGGCAGCGTCCTTTCTGCCATGGTAGGCACTGAGCTTGATCGAGCATCGTGACCCCAGCGATGTGACAGACCCCGCGATGCTTCGCGGTCGCAGCAACCCATCAGTCCAGCCCCCAAAACCACTGGGATGAAATGCGGTAGCTGATGACAAGCTCCCGAGAAGGAAGAGGAACGGCCAGACTGATGCGCAAGACAACATGATGGTTGTTGTAGGGGTTCTTTTCCGTCAGAATTCTAGTCCACGGCGCACAAGCTTGTCATTAGCAATCTGATTTAGGGTTTGCGACCTGGATATACCATAATCAACACGGGATAATAAAAACAAATCTGAAGATTTGACAGGCAGGACAGGCTAAAGATTCAACACTACAACAGTTCTACTGGGTGCCAAGGTCACATGTAGCACCGAATCAGTTCGAACAGAAAGTGGGTGTGGTGTTCCATAGTAACAATCAAATAGATACAAAATCTAGCATGAAAATTTGGAATAGGTAGCGATATTCTGATATACTGAATTTGTGGTTGAGAGGGCATTCGCGTGAAGAAGATTTCAATCTTATGTTCCAATGACAAAACTTAAAATATCGACAACGATGGCCCCCGCCAAATGGCTGCCAGACAAACGTATGACACGAAACAGATTTCGAACAAGCTTTTTTCCTTGCCCCTTTAACCTCTCTACTCATATTCCCACAGTTCCATACAGACGTGTTTGAAAACAACATGGTCATTGCACCTAGTCTCGTTTCTTACACTTCCTCCCATCCTTCTCTCCCTCACTGTCCACCGCACTCCCTCCCCTGTCTGCTTCCTGTCAGCTGCATTTCTTGGGTCCCTTCCACTACCCCATTATAACTTAGTACCCCACAGATAATTCTTCACCCCTAGTTTCAACCCACCTACCCCTGCAATGATATTCCTTTGATATGACCTCACACCCCTGAGAGCCACCAATCCTATGACCCCGTACCCTCTCGTTTCAACCCACCCCCACAAAGGAATCGGAGCGAAAAGCATACTCTTCGAAGCTTGCTTTTGTGTCCCGTCCTTAGGAGCCGAAAACACATGTGATAGTCATGTGACTATCACGTGATCATTATCTTATGGGGTTTCCGTATCACGTGGGAGATTTTGGGTACAATGCGGTGAATAAAAAGAGTCAAAATATAGTCACATGATAGTCACGTGATAGTCACATGAAAATCATCAAACCCCTACCCTCTTTACACCCATGGAGAACACCTACAATAGGACCCACCCTGTTATCACACGTAAACGTGATCACTGTACACCTACCCCTACTCAGCTGTCAGCTCCTTATTAATTGTGTACCCACCCCACAGTTCAACAAAGGATCAATGACTTCGCCCTGAAAACATCCCTTCCGCACCCGTGAAAGGTTCCACCACCGGTCCCTCACTGCAGGCTCTCCAGAGAAACAATCTTCGAACCTGTAAAGAGAGGGTGGGGTAGTCCAACACAGAATCAAAAGAATACGTCCCTTCATGACCATAAATCATAGTAGGGTCCTAGGAATGGTATCTCCATGAGAGGGTCAATGGAATCCAACAGTCGCATTGCTGTAACGGGAGGGTAGTTTTTCAATGGGGTGGTTTGTAAGATACCCCCAAAACTAAGGGCAAAGCCAAGGCAACATGGGGGGTATAAACCAGTACCCATTGGTCTAGCTCTATCAGCGTGGTCAAAGGGTCGTAACCGTGCAACCATTCGACCGTGGGATGAAATAAAAATATGTTACACTTGAAAAACTGTTCTATATTTGTATCTGCAATACATAGATGTATTTTTGAAACCCTAAAACTTTTCTTCACGGTCGCATGTTTCCTTGAATCGTTGAAATAATCATACTTTTCAGCTCTGGGCAAGACTGCCTCACCGTATCTGAGGGTTTCAGCCTTGAAACGGTGTATCCTTCGATGTTCAACTGTTGGGGTAGTACATGGGTGACTGGCGGGCCACCAGGGCCGACGGGACGCCCGGCCGGGCCCCGGGCCCGACTCCGGTCGGACGCAGCGGCGCACCGTGGCCTCAGTAACGGTACCGGGCCGGCCCGGGTGATGAGGGCATCGGATCGTGGCATACCGTAGTACTGGCGGTGAGCCTTCCGAACGGTTCACTGCCGCAGTGCAGCGGCTGAACCGTCCGAGTCGAGTCCCGGCCCCGGCGTCGGATCCCGGATTGGGTGCCGCTGATCGGAGGAGTCGGTGCACGGCGGTCGGATTGCTTACTGAGTCACGCCGGTGCCACTCAGTCCGGGGCCAACTTGCCAAGTTCACCGGGTCCCGGAGGGCGGGCGGCAGTCTCAGATGCGAACGGCGCTGGCTCGGACTCCCGGCCCGGGGTTCAATAGGCCCCACTGACCCTTGCCCCACTGCCACTGCCAGGCCCCGCCCCCGGGCCGTCATCACCGTTTAACGGACGCACCCCTGGCTAACAGCCTGGGCGACGGAGATGGCAGGAGAGTCAGAGGAGGAGGAAACAGATGTTGTCGTGTCTGCACGAATTGAAGTGAGACGAAGACCCCCAGACGACCCCCCTCAGCATGATCGTGCTGAAGGAGAGGGCGACGAAGAAGGAGAAGGAGGAGACAGAGCTGCGGAGGAACAGGGGGAACTGGAAGAGGATTGGGATGCTTTCTTCAACTTGTCGTTGTTCGATGGGCAGCAGTCAGATACTGACGCGATCAGCTTCAAAGATGAGAGCGATGAAGGAAAAGCAAACGAAGCTGATGGATTTGTGTGGAGGACAACCATTGAAAACACCTGCAGGGTCAGCAGGGACCTTGTCGTCCGCATGTGCAAACAAGTAGACGGCGCCATCACCCTGCAAAGAAAGAGTATGGATGCTCCTTTGCTGATTCTCCCTGTGGATTTCGCTCCTTTCGTTTCTGGAGAGAATGAGATCGTTGTGGGAGCCTCGTTGTTGAACACTCCACTGTGGGCTAAGCCGTTCTTCCTGGTTGATTTTCAAGTCAGTTTTGTAATCCAACATCCATTCCTGTCAGAGAGATTGAAAGATGTTTTGAATCCGCTGAGCATCAAGATCCTGTCTGCTGAAGACCTCCCAGACCCCTCTAGATACGAGATGGGGAAAACTTGGAAGGATGGCTGCAATCCAAGGATGTTGTGTACAGAGGAGGTGAGGAGCAGGTTCAAACCTGCATACTGCAAGTATGTGTTCATGCCCGATCCGCTGAGTGAAGAAGCCAACAATCATTCCGGCGATGAGTCTCCAGAATGGTGCAAAGAGATCTACACCAACAGCGTTGCGCAGGTAAGAGGATGACTACTTTAGTATCAACCGTTGTAAACAGTCATTTTGCAGGACAGACAGGTAGTCTTCAATCATACCAAAGTATTCTTGGCAGGGTTAGTCAACCAAAGCGATCTGCTGCGGTACATGAAAGATGGTATTGTAAACATCGAGCTGCACGATCAAGACAGATTGGAAGAGCATCAGGAAGAGGAAGAGAAGGAGCAACCCCCACGGTCCGAGGAAGAGGAAGAGGCGTCATCGGACTCGGTGCTGTCACGATGGAGCGGGTTGAAATCGATTGACAAGCAGCGAGGAGAGGAAAAGCTTCCTGCCAACTCTTTCGCTACATGTGAAGTTCTCCTCCATCCCTTGGCTTCGGGCGATCTCCTCTCGACTCAGCGATGCCTCGTGCGGCCGAAGCGCATAAAGTACCCAGATTTCTCAGCTCATCAACGTCCTGCTCAACGGCCGTACGTGGACTGCGGGAGCTGCCTCTTGGTGCGGCTCAGGCTGGCACGACCGCTGAGAAAGGAGAGGGAGGAGAGGGAGGGCGCGTTCCAGCGGGTGGTGTACCGCATCGAGTACTCCAATGCCGAGATGCTGGCCAGCCTCGTCAGGTCCGTGGTTCGCATCAACGCAGACTTCTTGGCGCAGTATAGTCAGTCCGCCTCAGAGGAAGAGAAGCAGGAGACCAGAGAAGCCGCCCTGGCGTTCGACACGCTCGCAAAGCTCAAGAGCGCTGGAGCGACGCTGGACATGATGGAGAAGGTGCTGAATGGGATCGAGCTGAGGGAGGAGCAGGCGCAGAGCCCCAACTTCGACATCGTGACGGGAGTTCAGGTCATCGACAACAACTACAGGATCTTCATCCTCGAAGGATTGGCTGGCAAGGGAATTCAAAAACTCCTCGACGAGAATCCGCGATGTGAAAGGAACTCCAAGACGTTTCGCATGCTCTACAACCCAGAGATCAGCTTCCCGACCCGCCTCTACTGGCAGTACCCGCTGAACCTCAAACGCATCAAGCTGCGAGAGACTCTAAGACATCTGATCCTACGTGTGGACGCCTACTTGCAACCCAAGTATCGCCTGACTGCTATAGCTATGATCCGCCTGCATGAAATCTCACACTCGGGAAGGATGAAGAAGCTCCGAGACCTTGCGCTCTTTCCTGAAGTAGACCAACTTGAACACATGTACAAGAAGCTAGGCGATGTCCTCAGCATTGAAGACGAAACAGGTAAGCCACAACAGCTAAGAAGTCGCAAGACGAAGGAGGAGGAGGAGCAGATGCCGGCACTGACTAAGGAGGAGCTTGTGGCTGCCAGCACGATGCCACGGCCCAAGACGAAAGCTCCGACGGACGCGTCCAACGCAGCTTACGTTCAATTCCTCGCCACTAAGCCAGCAGAGGTCGACTTTGTTGCCCAGAACCGAGACGCTGTGCGAGCAGACAAGCAGAAGCGACGAGAGCAGCTGCCGGTCTCAGTCGAGGAGGTGTACAACTACAGTGGGCAGTACCTTCAGTACTCAAACATACAGCGCGACTTCCTGCGGAAGAAATTCACGCGGGACTACGGCAAAGTTCACTACACCTTCAGCAAGGACCTTCTGTCGGGCGCTTTCGTGCTGCAGGTCTTTCCACTGTTTCGTGCTGCTTGCCGTGTCTTGTCTGTGACCTCGTGGTGCCTTGCAGGACCCTGAGACAGCAGCACGAGAAGAGGTCGCAAGGTCCCGATCCAGGTGGATCACAGCTGAAGGATTCCGATGGCCAAAGGCGCGGAGCGTGATGGAGTTCCGGGAAGCGCAGGTGGACAAGTCTGCTCCTACGTCGGATCACGGCGAGTACATCGAGAACGAGTGGAACCTCAGCTCGCGCGAGGGTGCAACGAGCAACCTCCTACCTGGACAGCCAGATTTTAGCATCCGGTATCCAGCTCAGCCCCAGCTCTTTGAAAAGAACCCCGAGTTCTTCAAGTCAGTGTTCTCAGCTGAGGGGGGAGCAGCGTTGGAGATGCAGGAGCGCAAGTCGCAGCTGTGAGAAGCTCTGAGAAGCTCCTTGACCTTGTGCTTGCTTCTGACCTGCACCAGGTACAATACCTGGGAAAAGAAGAAGGTGGTGGATGACCGACGGTTCCATGTCCAGTGGTCGGATGGAGGAGCGCGAATGGACAAGTACAAGGCGATGCTGAAGCTGAGCCCCATGAAGAAGTCTCTCAAGACTATGTGATCTCTCCCTCCCCGCCTCCTTCCCCTTGCCTGACATGGCGCAGGCCCGGCAAAGAAGGATGTCAACCAGGTGCTGAGTTTCCTCCCTCCATCTTCGACGGCGAGCCGTTCCTGGACCGTGTGAACACCTACGTTCACGAGACCTACGGGGTACGACACTGCGGTGCGAGTAGAGCATGCTTACACTCGGGCAGGTGAAGACTGTGGTTGAAAAGACGCTAGACAAGAACAAGAACTTCATGCGATGGTATGCCTTGCCAATCCTCCCCTTTCTCCTCACCCCTCTGCTTCTCCAGGGTCGAGCCGATAGCGCCTGGCGTGAGGGAAGAGCGCAAGATCGCCTCAATCCACTCCAAGAACTTCAGGCCGCTAGTGCAGAAGGACAAGAAGGATCTGAAGGACATTGACTACCTCTACAAGCGCAAGATCGCTCCGCTCACTAATGCTGAAGTCGATAGGCCTGTAGGCCTCTATAGACAAGCCAAGCAATGACTCTAAAGTAGACGACTCATTTCAGCTTGACCTCGCCGTTGGCGTCCCCGTACTTCTTGCGCAGCTCCTCCCACTTCTCGACTGCTCCCTTGTAGTACTTGCCAGGCTTTCCTCCGTTCCCCTGAGCCTGTGTCATGACGAAAGACAGTGTGAGAAGGGATACCTCGATGTCATAGTTGAGGAGAATCGAAAGGATCTTGTCTCCCTTGTCGTTCATGATCCTCAGCGAGTACAGCTCTCCTGTTGGCCCATAGAGCTTGTCGAAGGCAAGAATCGCAGCCTTCCATTCAAGTCAGGAGACATCAAACAAAATCACTACTCACATTGTCAAGGTTTATACTGCATTCGAAGGAAGCTACCAAGTGATCCGGCGAGTTCGGCCCAGCAATCCTGACATATTGGCCCTTGCCGGGGATCTCAAAGGGAACGAGCGAGTAATCAAACTTTCCAAGAGCCTCTAGCACAGCTCCATTGGGGTTCACTGACAAGAATCGAACAACTCCAAGATCCTTGCACTCCTGTCATACACATTGTGAATGGCCATAAAAGAGAGCAGGAGAGGGGAAACCTGAAAGATCTGAACAAGCTTGTAGTCTTTGATCTCATCCGCTACTGGCTCCGCAAGAGCCTTCAGAGGAGGCAGCAACGATGAGCCAGCGATAGAAATTCCAGCTAGGAGGGCATTTCTTCTCGAGATGCTTGTCACGCTCGACTCGTGCTTCATTGCAGCTCCTCTTGCCGACTGCCTAGATTGGAGGCTATGATAGGAACCACCTGATGGAGGAGGAGGAGCGAACGCTTCTGTGCATGCCAACATGCAGGCGGCAGCGGCGGCTGAGCGGACGAGAATGTGCATTGAGGCGTTTAGATGTAGGACCCTACCCCACACGAAATTCTCTTAGCACCCCGTCCATCCGAATCCAGATGGACACGAATCACCCCTTGAATGAGAGTCATTGGTAGGGGTTCTGACGAACTCAATCCAGCGCAATGCAAATGCACGATCGTGTTTCACAGTGAGAGCTGTTCCTTCAAGTTAGCTTCATGCAAGTGATCGACTTGAGATTTCTTTAAAGTCTAATAGCAATTGAAAGAATGTGAGCTGGCTCTAATATACAGCGAGGTATTGTTCTACCCCTAGACGCTTTTCGAAAGTCGAATCGAGTTCTCGAGGTGATCGTGGATTGTTCCTATCGGATTTGACTGGAAGAGAGGATGCGTCAAAACCTGCGTGACTTGCGTCATAGACCGCTGCCAGAACAAGAACGAAAAAAGCAACACTGAAATCATCTTGGAAGGAAGAAGGAAAGAAACTTACAGATTGGAGTTGTTGAGACTCTGCAATGAGCATTCGTCTTTGCTTCTTGATCGTCATCTTGCCGGGGCCTCTGACCAAAATTGTCAAAAACAGCCCTCGACAGACAAAGATCGCACTTCTTGTTCTGTTGTGAAGGTGCTGAGGATTGAGAGGAAGGAAGAGCTAAGGTAAGGCAATCCAAATCCTGCAGACATATAGTCATGATACCATCTCTCTGTAACAGTGAAGGTCACCCCTAGACTGCCATCCTGTATCTTTAAAGCCTTCGATACAATAGCAGAGCCGATCTCCTCTATCAGGAAAAGGTGTCAAGCGTGTGAAACCAGCATCAAAATACACAGAGATCTAGCGTCTAGCATCACTGCATAACTTACTTCTTCTGATCACATTTGACTTCTTCGCCAGTCTTTTTCTTTGCCCTCTTGACATGTTTTCTGAGCTCATCTTCATCTTCTCGATGATTTTATTCTGTACACCTAAATTTGCTGCAGGACGGGAGGGAGATTGCTTGCTGATGCCTCTCAACGGCTTGGCAAAGAGCTTGTCAGATGACTTCTCCCTCATGGCATTCTTCTCCCCTCCCCCTCCACGTTCATCTTCCATTTGTTTGTTCGGTTTCTTTGCTTTCCCCATGGCGGCTGCACGTGCCGTTTCGTTGTAACGGAAGGTGAAGCCCGATCTTCCGAGGCGGGCTTCCCCATGTGAAAGGGTTTTTACAGGAAGTTTTATAAAAGTCAAAACACCCCATTTTCAAAACGTTTGGTGTATACAAATTATTTATATCTTGTAAATATTTTTCAATCATACATTATTGTAAAACAGTACCTACAAAATGGGGGTAAATTTTATAAATATGTAGAACAATCCAAAAATCTTGATTTCAGGTCATTTTCCTGGTAGTACAAATGCGTCAGAAATTTGAAAATACAAGATTGTTGGAACGCGAGAAAGGAGAACAGATGAGGCGCCTGCGAGCTCAGACAGGAGGAGGAGGAGGAGGAAGAGGGGGAGGAGAGAACGGACAGCACATGCAAGAGAGTAGCAAAACAGAAGGTGAACCGAAGGGGAGGGAAGCGAATTAAGACAGATTAATCATCAGTTAGTGCTGTAAGAAGGTACATGCTGATTGAATGACGGAATAGAGAGGCAATGGCCCTCAGAAGCAACGAGGTAGAATATCGGGCAGCTCCAATTATAAACACTTTACCAGGAGTCACAAGGCAAGTGGATATGGGTCCCTTTGCTCATCAAGTTGGTCTTGTCTACGAGGAAACTTTGAAAGCATTGGAAACCATTGTATATATAGGATATTTGAAGTAAGATTCTTTCGTTAAACATAGATAGGTGGCTAACCGGGGGTTTGAGCACCCAGGACGAGGTTACCTACTAGAACTCAAGATATGAGAAACACGTTTGCTAGTTATCGAAATAGAATGTGAACCAATTGAAGTCCTCAATTGAAGTCCTTCATTCTTGTTCGAGCATGTTCAGGGTGAAACTTGATGCAGGATTGCAACGGAATGCAAGCAACCTGTCTTCCGCCCCTGGTTTTCTATGTCGGGTTTCTCCTCTTTATCCAACTCAACCCGTCCCTGGGTTTCATGCCTGCGACTCCTCCTGCGCGTCTCCGGAGTCCAGCTGGAGGGTTGCGGTGCCAGGTGAAACCAGACGAGCAGTATCTCATCGTCCCATCGCAGCTCGAGGGAACAGGAGGAGGATGGACTATCCAGGCGACGAGACCCGTAAGTTCGACTGCTCGCGCCTCCTCTCGCTTGTAATCGGGCACAGCCTCCCAAGCAGGGAACGGTGTGGGCGAGGCCACGACCAGAGGTGGGGGAGGTACAGGAGATGGGGTTCGGGTCGTTTGGGAGGATCTACTTGGCAACGGACCTCAAGACAGGGCAAGAGGCATAGGACTGGAAAGGTCGCTCGCTCCCGCTGAGAGTCTGCCGCAGGTGGCGGTGAAGGCGGAGCGAGACATCGGACAGAAAGTGAGCGCGCTGCGGGCGGAGGCAGAGACTCTCATCCACCTTCAAGGAGGTCCAGGGATCGCCGACGTGTACTGGGTGGGAAAGAGAGATCTGAACGGAGAGGTGAGGAGGAGGACGAGCAGCCTACGGATCTTACGACTCGTAGAACTGCAACATCCTGGTGATGGAGCTGCTGGGCCCGGACATGGAGGATCTTCTCGAGCTCATGGATAAGAGAAGCGTAAAGATCGCTTGCCGTAGGGGGCGAGCTGAAGTCACGGCAGGTCTCGACCAAGACGGGGCTGATGCTTGCACATCAGGTGAGCTGAAGCTGGAGGGATCGATCTTTCTCACCCGCAGACAGATGCTTGACTGTCTCAGCCACATCCATTCTCGAGGCATCATCCATCGGTCAACTGGACGTGTGCATGCAGTGAAGCTGATTCTATTGCAGGGACATCAAGCCTGAGAACTTTCTCATGGGGGTCAAGGAGCGAGCGAACAAGGTAGATTGGCTTCTCGCGTCTCTTGTGACGCAGACTGCAGGTCTACTTGATCGACTACGGCCTGAGCGACTTCTTCCAAGACGAGCAAGGCAACCACGTGCCGTGCAAGAAGTCCAAGTGGCTCATCCTTGTCGTTTTGTCGTGTAATGACTTGCTCTAGGGATTCTCTGAGAGGAACTTTGCGCTATGCAAGCATCCCCAAGCATGAGGGATACGAGCAATCAAGGCGCGATGACCTGGAAGAGCTTATGTACGTCCTGGTCTGTATCGCCCATGCCTTGTTCACTTTTCTGACCTCGCGCAGATCTATCTCATGCGAGGAGGGTTGCCCTGGTGCAAGGAGGAGGCTCAGACGTTCGACGGATTAGAGAAGCAGCAGTGGGCAAGAGCCAGGTATGACAGATTTCTCTCCACCACCACCACCACCTCCTCCTCCTTCTCCTCCTCCTCATCCACCACCACCGCCTCCTCCACCTCCCCCTCCTCCTCCTCCTCCCCCTCCCTCCCCCTCCCTCCTCCTCCTCCTCCTCCTCCTCCTCCTCCTCCTCCTTCTCGCCGTCGTCCTTTTCAATGACTCTACCGGTCCGCAGGCAGATGGATCGTGTCAAGAATCTCAAGAAGAACACACCAATGGCAGAGCTTTGTGCTGGGCTTCCCTCAGTCATTCCTCAACTTCTCCAGTACAGGTCGATCGCACTGCCTGTCCTTCTCGCACTGAGCCGATAACTCAACAGTCGAAGCCTCTCCTTCGAGGATGAGCCGGACTACGATGGCATGAAGCAGGTGTTCTTGTGCAAGGGCTTCCCATTTCATGATCTGCTGTTTACAGCAAGTTCTTGACGCCATGAGTGAGCTCGGGCACGAGATGGACTTCTGCTACGACTGGGGCAACAAAGCGCCTCCTCCAAAGAGAAATCGCTTCTGGTAGAAACATGCTCCTCTCAATTTTCCCTTGTACTATAATTTGGCATTTCTGCTAGTGAAGCTAGATTTTCTCTCAATCTTGTGCTGTTATCCTGTGCATTGCGTGCTGCTTTTCGCTAGTCTACAGTGGCTGGCTGCCGAGCATGTTTCCAGAGACACGCCGGCACAGGGGTTGATATTTCTGAAAACAAGGGCACGTCAGTGTCTGCGAGTCGCCAGAAGGATCTTACTTGGAAGGATTGTTAGGGTCTGGGATGTTGTCAATTAGGCAGGTGTCGATGCAGAAGGAGCGCTCGAGAGCGTTCTTGGTGATTGCGTACATTCCGATGGCCATCTGGTACTGATACCTATGCTGCGCTCAGCTGCAACTAGCAAGATGGAAAAACTCACCAGCCCAGGGACACAGTAGCAACATACTTGGATCCCTGCTTGGCGAAGGCTGGCGCCTCGTACACCCCATTGCACATTGCAGACAGGCAAGGAGGACGACTGCCGTAGTTGGGGCTTCCTACCTTGTAGGGGTTGCTGACGGCCGGGTTGGAGTATTGGAACCAAGCTCGTGCAGGAGAGGAGGCAGAAGAAGTACTGATAGGCGATCCAATGTCCCGCACATACAGCCCAAAGTCGTCCCCTAGGGTCGTAGGAAAGAGAGCACGGACGACAAAGGATCTGTTCTTGTAAGTCGAGGTGTCCGCACTGATCTGAGTTTGTGTAACATATGCACAATTGACTGTGTATAGAGTGATGTTAGGAATGACCGCACTGGTTGCAGGCAGCGTTTGGATTGCTAGGGCACTGCCGTTGGGATTGGAAGTGAAATCTTGCTGTCCTTGCGTGAATTGGACACAGGAAGGATCGTTGCCAGACCAATCATCTGGCCAATAGTATCTGCAGTGAAGTTAATATCCTCACTCAAGACTTTGCAATTCCTCACTTAGCAAATAGAACAAGCGCAAGCGTACAATACAAGACAAGCAAGAAAAGAGAAGCGGCTCCAAGCAGTCTTGAAGTTCGATTGGCAGATGACAAAGATCGAAGGCCGCACAACCACATGGGAGGGAAAATCCAGCCGATAGCAAAAGAAACGACGGCGGGGAATCTGAGGAAAAGATCACCATCTGTCAGACATGTGCATGGTGCGATTACGAGAAGCGATCTGAGGTATCTTCTTTGTTCGTGAGGGGTGACACGATGCTGTCCAGCGCTTGTCGCTGTACTGCTCCGTTTTCAATCGGCTTCGCTGCATCCCTGAGACTAGTTGCCCCGCTCAGCCGTTTTGCGGCCGACGGAGCGCCAGGGATCTCGGTGATGGAGGCTGTGGGTCTGACGAGGGAGGTGATGTCGGGTCGCTTCATGGCAGGGTGAGAACCCTGCATGAGTGCCTGCATAGCAAGTGTGATCACATGCACAGCAGTAAGCCAAGTCGACTGTCACCTTCGCATCAGCTTCGGACATGGAAAGATCCAGTCTCTTGGAAGGGTCTTGCCCTTGCCCCAGCATTGGAACTTTTGGTTTGCTGTCTTGAGTTGCCACTTGTGGGAAAAACGGCACAGAAGTCCCAACAGGCTCATCGATGACAGGGTATATCGATCGATACTTCCCTTCCATGTCTTGAGACTCGCTCATGATGGTGGTGTTCTTCCTCGGGTCAAAAGTGGTTGCCAAGGTTCAATCTAGATATCCGATGACATCAAAATCTGAGAGAACCATGAGAAACAAAAATATCGCTGTAATTCTGCCAGTTTGAGAAAACACCAACGCATTGTCGCTGCTAACATGAAAATCTAAAAACGTAATCAACTATAAGCTAACAGCTAGACCATCCACATATCATCAAAATTGAGGTCAATATAATACCACTATAAATACTTGCTGTCTCCTCCATGCATTGTCCTCTGGAACTACAAACTTCAGCCCTCTGGGTTGATATGCGGGGATCCGATAGTTGCACTTGAACTGTTTTGCCAGACTGGTACTACCGGGTACTAACTCCAAGCACTCGCAAACGCTCCCTGAGCGATAACAACTCAGTACCATGATCTAGCTACAACACGGCTCCGAGGCCCTCAGGGGTAACGACACGACCAGCACAACTGAGTTGCAGCGGCGGCAGCCATCATGGCACTGCAGATCGGACTCTCACTGAATCAAGTTCAGCAACTTGAAGCGAGTCACTCGCCACCTGCTTTGCCGTGCGGCTGAACTCACTGCCGCCTGGCATCGCGGCGATTCATGAAGAGAAGCCGGGGCGGACTCCTCGCCGTACAGGAGAAGAAACTCAACGCCCGACTCGAGGGACCTACTGCGGCAGCCCCAAACTTCAAACGTCAAACTTCAAACTTCAAACTTCAAACTTCAAACTTCAAACTTCAAACTTCAAACTTCAAACTTCAAACTTCAAACTTCAAACTTCAAACTTCAAACTTCAAACTTCAAACTTCAAACTTCAAACTTCAAACTTCAAACTTCAAACTTCAAACTTCAACTCAACATCAATCATCTCCGGCGGCTCGGAGTCCACCGGGAGGCCCGCGGCCCCTCCGAGGGTAGGGGGTAGAGGGCTTTCAAAGTGGCAACGTAAAGGCTTCAAGGGACGAAAGGGGTAGTCCTGCTGGATGAAGGTGGGGTAGGGGTTATAGCACCACGTAAGTGAGAGGTACGACCGGTCTTGAGTCGTTATCAGATGAACGATCGAAAAAAAAGAAAAGCGTCGACTACCCTCAGCACCCCATTCATTCACAGGATATTGTAGGGTGTGTGATTTGAGGAGAAGAAAATTCAGTACAAAATATACATATCAAAGAACTGTTTCATGTAGGTAAGATCGATACTTATCAGTACCAATGAATATTAGTATAATTTTTGTAGATTATCATCTTTGTAATTCCTTGTATTGTATTTGTATATTTTAAAATACGTTGTTGATTACAGGTAGAAAAATAGCACCAGTTTTACCAATTTTTAAAAATCCATACATTTTAAGCTTCCAGTACCGACCCCTGTATCTTCGGCAGCAATGGTGTCGCTGACCTTGATACGCCCTACGGTGCCATGTCGCGACTGCAGCGACCCTGATGCAAGCCTCTCGTTCTTTTCGCCTAGTAATTCCTGCTCATTCTGGACGATTGTTCTCTGCCTGTCATGAGTTATACACACGTTCTTCTCAGACATTGTTTTCGTAGCATTTATCTCGTTACGACCTTAGAACCAACACAGCTGGGCAGATTGATACAAGGAGACATTACATTCACTCTTTTGTTCTTTTGATTAGAAAACTTTAGATTTACATAGATATCCAGCCACATGCAAAGGAATCTTTGCTCAAGCTCGCATACGGGACAGTTTCTTGGAACAGTCGTAGTGAAACGGCACGCAAAGTGGTTTAGATGTGATCATTTTTCCGCCCAAAAATCTAGAATTTCGTCTGTTCAAGCTGATTGTTTTGAATGCGATTCACAAACATGACTTGTATCTTTGCGGTCGCAGACACCATGCAAGCTCTTCAAAGAGATCTGTCCCGCAGTTTCTGCAGGACCTTCAAGGCCAACAAGAGGTTTATGAGCCAACGCCCACCTCCTTTCGTGAACAAGGACACGCGAGTTATCTGCCAGGGCTTTACCGGCTCTCAGGTTGCTGAATTGAAACAACCATCCTGTGCGAAGGATTTCTGATGATTTGATAGGGAACGTTTCATTCTGAGCAATCAATTGCTTACGGAACCAAGATGGTGGGAGGTATAAGTTCTCATAATGTTCAGAATATTATGGATGTTGACGTTCATTTTAAAAGGGGTTACTCCAAAGAAGGGAGGTACCACCCATCTTGGGCTTCCAGTGTTCAACACTGTGCGAGAAGCCAAAGAAGCCGTTAAGCCAGATGCTTCTGTATCGATCTAAATTGTGTTCTTCGGCTACTTTTTAACATCATGTGAGGTTATTTACGTTCCTCCCCCGTTTGCTATGCGGGCAGCGCTTGATGCGATCGAGGCAGAGATTCCGCTGGTGAGACTTTTTCAAAACCAGAAGAAACATCATGGAATTTGAATCAAAAACTCCTTTAAGTTAATGGTGATGTTGAATGGTCTTTTGTAGGTCGTTGTGATCACCGAAGGAATCCCGCAGCAGGTGATTTGATCCACATTTCTTTTCAACTTTGAAAGCTTATAACCTTTTATTAGGACATGGTGCGGGTGAAGCACGCACTGAATATGTCCACCAAGACTCGTATGATTGGACCCAACTGTCCAGGGATCATTAAGGTATTTCGTTTCACAAGTATTTTCCTTTGAGAGATTCATTGGACTTAAAGCCTGGTGAGTGCAAAATGGGTATCATGCCGGGATATATCCATAGCAAAGGCAAGATTGGAATCGTCTCTCGTTCCGGAACGTTGACCTACGAGGCTGTTTACCAGACTACTCAGGTTAGTTGCCATGAAAATGGATGCTTTTCTAAGGAATCTTATCTCATAGATGGGTCTTGGTCAATCCATTGTTGTCGGTATCGGCGGAGATCCTTTCAATGGAACCAGCCACAAGGATTGTGTGGAATTCTTTTTGCAAGACCCGGATACAGAAGGGATTGTTTTGATTGGTCCGTTGACATTGTTCTGATTAACATCAGGCATTGATGTGACTGAATAACAGGCGAGATCGGAGGATCCTCTGAAGAGGAAGCAGCCGAGGTGATGAAGAACAGCAAAATCAAGAAACCGGTAATCTTACGATTGAGGGTTTTCTTGTTACTCACCCATTCCCTGCAGGCCGTGTCTTTCATCGCAGGTCTCACTGCACCACCCGGAAGGCGCATGGGGCATGCGGGAGCCATCATCTCTGGCGGTAAAGGAACAGCTCAGGATAAGATCAAGGCCCTTGAATCAGCTGGAGTGTATGTCACCAATTCCCCAGCCAAAATCGGAGAGACGATGATGAAGGCGATGGGCAAAGCCTAGGTTCAAGTGACTGTCAGCAGTCTCCATCTACTTTTTCAAAGAGAGAACATCTTTCAGTTTAGAGTGTAGCCTCATGAAGCCAACTTCTAGAGTTTCATGCCATGCTCGAATTTTGAAAGAAAAAATGGAAATAACAATGAGCAAGGATTTTAAATGGTATTCGATTTGTATGTTCCAACATCACTTATCAGACAATTGTTTGGCTGATTCCGATTCTGATTCCACGTGTTCCTTTGAGAATTTGGCATCGATCTCCTGCTTATCTTCCTCTCTCAAATAGCTTGGGATTTTGGATGGAGCCAAGCCAATGACCTGCGGCGACATCAGTTTGACGATCAACATAATTCAAACTCTAACAATGAAGCGTTTTCTCTTGCTGATAGGACGATGCTCTTCGATAATAACTCGGTCCCCAATCTTTAAGGAAACCTGTAAGATACGAACAACAGTCCCGAGCCAGTACCTGATATTTGTCTTCTTCATCATGAGCCATAAACTTCTTTCTCTTCTTGATCATCATACCGACTTTGGGATGCACAAAATATCTTTCGACTGCCACTACAACTGCACAGGTCATGTAAGTTATTCCCATGATCAGGCAGGCAACTCAAAGAGTTCACATACCTGATTTCTGAGCCCCATTGGTTACAACAACCCCGGTCATTCGTTTTCTTTCAAGACACGGGGAAGAAGTGCGAAACTGTCTCACTTGGTTCTGAGCACCACAAAGATTGAAGGAATCAGTAGCTGATATGAAACCCCGCTTTTTCCCCATTTCCTTGGAAGGGATGACGAAGCCTCTGGCAATAGAAGGAAAGCAGTTGAAGGAAGTGATGCTTCTTGATGTTATGTTGTTGCGTACTGGTGAAGGGGCCAGTGGAATAAGTCGAGAAAGCTGAGAAGACAAGGAGTGAAGCATGGTGGGAGAGGAGACAAGAGGCCGAAGACGCGGCGCGCGCGCCGTAAAGCCGCTCAGCCATCGACATGCCATCCTCGAGAGTGAAAGACCACCCCTACCACCCAAATGTCTTTTCAATATATGGGTAGTTACATGTACCCCCACCTGCATTTCGATCCGTCAATGCCCGGGTGGTCAATCGCGATCGCAGCTGTTGATTTCTCCCCTTGTTCTCACCGACAAAGGACCCGGTGCTTTGACCGAGTACCCCCTACCCACCATTATCAGACTTATTGGAGGGTAAAGATGAACGAGGGGGTGCAGCAGGTTTCACAAGATCCAGTCTTGTTGCAATGGAGCATCTCGGGGTCCTATGAGGCATTAGGTAATACAGTAGGTGGGGTGTTAAGATCCTCAATAGATCTACCCGGTGCTTTTCCAGCATTTAAGAAGGTGGGGTTAAACAGCAGGGGTAGGTCATAATAGTAGGGTGCAACAATTACGACTTCCACAAATGAGGGGGTACTGGTGTCCAATTTAGCTTCTGATTTGTAGCAGCGGCTGGTAATTAGACGGGGTGGGGTTATCACAAGTGTTGAAGGGTGGGTTGTATTGAGGATTCTCGACAATGCGGGGAGAGCAGCTAAACAGCAATGGAAGAAGCAGCTGTCCGTAGAGAAACAGATTGAGAGAAAGAAGATGCACGAACGCAAGTCAGATATCAAACATCAAGATTTAGTTCATGTCTACTTGCACTTTCAGATCGAGATGAAGGAAATTCAGGAAGGAGGATAATGTAATAGAGGTGGGACGAAAGCACGAAGAAGTAGAGACAGAGAAGCTATGAGAATTCGGACGAGCACAAAAGCCTAGTGATCAAAACAATAAGATCGGTGAGTTGATTCAGTGCTTAGGTGAGGAAAGATTTGGAGGGAGAGAGGGAGAGAAGGAGGGAGGGGGAGCCAAGGAGGGACAGGAAACAAGACATACATGGAAGAGGGTCGTAACTCACGAGGCATGATGCAGGTGGCGACTTTCATTCTATGAAATTGTTTCTCCTGCTGAGTTGTGCACTTGGCGGTGCATCATGCTTTTGCGTGAGTCCCTTGAAATTGGCCGGAAGGCATGGCTTGTCGACCTTGAAGCGCATCGGGAGCCCTCGGGCGCAGCGCAATGGTTTCTGTTCTCCGCGAATGCAATGGAGGGAATCTGAGGAGCGACTCCCATTCCAGTCTGAGTGGGAAGCCTTCAAGAACTACAACCTCGGCCGTTGGATGGGCAGGGCGCTGCATATCTCGCCACAAACTGGAGACTATGTTCCACCCTTCGTCACTGAGCACTCCATCGACGTGGTTCAACTAGAAGAAGGTCAGCAGTCGGCAAAGCAAAGACTTGTGGTTGGCAACGAGACTTCTCCCCGCCTTTCTGAGTCTGTGATAACTGTCAACGATGAATTTCACTGTGCCGAAGATGGCTCCTATTCTTACGACAGCTCCTTGGTGTCGGTTCCTGATGTCCCAGGAACTGCCAGGTTCTGCATCGAAATGTCTGTTGCGCTGTCGGAAGAAGAAAGGATCCGATGTCTAGCACTTTATGACTTTGAATCAAAGCTCAGCAGGATTATTTTATATGAAGAGAAGAGATTTGTGAGCGTTGGTAATCTTTTCTTGAGTGTAATTTTGATTTGATCAAACCCTTTGGACAGGTGCAAACAGGCTCATAGGGATCAAATACTTTGAAGACAATGTGCAGCCCACTCGTCCCCCTATGACGTTCCTTTCACTTTTGGGGGAATATCGAGGAGAAGCATTTGGAAGGTGAAATGAATAGCTGCTTTTACGCCATTGAATGATGCAAAAATTTCAGGGGAGTGGCAAGATTAGGAGGAGGAAAGATGACGTTTGCAGCACGAAGTGGGAATCAATGGGATGGTACCCAGAAATTTCGCAGGGAAATGCAAGTTTTGGACGAGCGCAACAGAGTTGCAAGAAAGATCTCTTGGAGTGATGTCAACAGTCCAGTTGAAGATTCGATCATCATGGACGATGGTTGCAAGCTTTTCATGCTTCCAAGTGGATGCTGGGTGTGTTTGCCAGAGAAGTTGGACAAGGTCAGCCTCGACAAAGTTGAAAAAGCAGAACCCGATCAATCAGGAGGCTCCAAGGGGGATCCAGTGGAAGCGGTAAAGAAGGCACTTGAAGCAGCATTCTCCACAGAATCAGACAAAGTATCTCTATTGTTCTGTACTTGCGTTGCATTTTGATGATGTGCAGAATGGAGACAAGTTGCCAGGCGTTCAAAGCTTCAGCGCTGAGTTTGGTTGCTTCTTCAATGACAAGGTTATTTACCATGGTAATTCCTGCTAATTCTGAGAGGCGAACAGGAGCTTGTACGCACGATTCGTATGTACAACAAGGATGGAAGAATGGCCAGCACCACGACGTTAAGAGAGTAAGTATCGTCTCTCTTTTTGCCTCGCAATGATCACCAGGAACCAGGAAACGTGTTGATAGTGATGGTCAAAGTGCTGAGAAATTCAGCTCTTTGTCTTACGACGAATTCGAGCAACCCGATTCAAAGTTCTGAAAATTTCGCTACGAGATGATCCGATCATGAATGTATCGACCGAGGCATCGGAGCATACTGTCTACTATTGCTGTAATTAGTAAAAGACAAGTGAGTTCGAAGCCCCCGTACCTCGTTTTAATGTTTCAGTTGCTGCCAGACATAGTATTCAGGATTCCAGTGTCTGTTGTAGTATGAGATCCAAGCAGATTGCACAGAAAACTTACATCAAAGCCTCGAAACCTTCCAGCTCAGCGTTCAAGAAGTTGACAAGCTCTCCGTCTAATCCGACAATTGCAAGCGCGGGGATTCCACTTCTCCTCGACTTGAACGATGCTATGGAAGTGCCAAACTGCGAGGCCTCTTTTCCTGCCCACACTCTACAGCATGCCATCATCAGCCGGCCGAAAAGTTCCTTGAAAAGCACGCACCCGAACTTTCGCTTCAGCTCGGAACGAAGAGCGCTTTTGTAGTCAAGCATCAGCCAATCGCCGTGAGCATTTCTGACAAAGTTTGAGAATGAACAAAGAACAAAATGAACTTGAAACTTGAAAAAGGTGGTTGCGTCCTCCTCTGAGAAATCCGAGCTCACAAAAATGATGGATATCTTGCGCGCAGTTTAGACGCAATCTACATAGAAAAATGCACCTTAGCTTTGCTGTGCTCTCCAGAGTTCTATAAAATATTGATTTACAACTAAGTTAGCATTGCATTCAGCCAATAAGTTGCATACTTGCGCTGAAAAAAACGCCTGCAACAAGGGCAGGAACTGTATGCATCTGCAGATCAGAGTGGGTGAGTGTAGCATTGGAGCTCTCTTGTCATACGCAGGGCACCACGACGAAGCGAAGAGAAGTGCAACGCTACTGCCTCCTACCATCTCATATAAGAAAGTGACTTGAGATCGGAATCTTCAGACTTAAGGTGCTTGGCTGGATAATTTCACTGGATTGACCGAAGGTTCGATTAGCCACGAATGCCAGGTCTGGAGCAATCACCCGTTCTTGTTGTAGATTTTCTGAGAACAGGTACGCGACTTTCCACAAGCAGCAGCTCCATGTGCTCAAAGATCGAGACGAAAGAAAGTCTGGGGCCGCGATCGATGCTCTCTTCACCCACGAAATTAGGTTTCATGTGTTTCCGTGGGAAGAGGAGGCGGGAGAAGACAGAAAGACAGAAAATACCTCTATTTGCTCCATTTTCTTCTCAGATCTCTCAAACCATGCATCAAACCGATCGTCATCTTTCGCCTGACAAGCTACATTGCCTTGGGTTCGTAGCCCCCGATATCTACTTATAAACGAAGTTCTTGGAAGGCAGTCAGGTGAGAGCGAAAAGCAGGGGCGCGACGATCGGAGGGATAGAAAGGAGTCATATTGAGCTGGAGAGCTTCTGCGAACATGCAAGGGAGAAGGCGATAGGAAGCAGCACAAGCTTAGCAATGCAGGCACCATAGTGCAGAAAATCTGCTGGGTTTAGATTTAAATAATCTAAACTTGGACGTAACCCCATGGGCCCGGTCACCAGTGACGGTGGGGGAGTCCGACTCCGGGTCACCATCAAGCCTGACTCTGAGGCGGGTGTGCTGACGTCCGTGACACAAGCCCAGTGGCCCCCAACTCTAGCCCGTCGTTGAGGTAGCCAAAAGAGGCGATTTCGACTCTCGGAGTCCGACTGCCTGCAGTAGTTCAGTCTGAAGCCCATATCAACTGATTCTTCTGTGGTACAAACACGTGGGGGATGGGTGGCACGTTTGACTGGCACCAGGATTGCCCGACGTGCAGGGGCCACGGATAGATCTGTACCCCGTCAAGTACCCCTCCATTTACTACAATAAAGTGGGGTTATACTTTGTACCTCACTATAAAAGGCAACGTGCCTGGAGCATCCGGGACCCACCCCTTTGTGTCCATCACCCCTCTAACTAACGTTGGTCTGTTCAGTACCCATGCCTATGACAGACAAGGTGAGGATATTGTACCGGTACTTGACCTCACCCACCGGAACATACCCACCATTATGATGTGTCGTTGCAAGATCCCAGTCAAACTCTTGTAGTCAAACTCTGCTCTAGCTTCTATTACACAACGAGAGCGCTTCGTGCGTCAGTCGTCGTCGAGTCATCTCCTCCTCGAGCAAGTCCCACAGTCTTCCCCCACCACCTCTCCTCCCTGCTGTCTCGCTCTGAGTTCCCCTCAGACTTCAACCTCCGCCTTGATCATCATGCATGAAAAGCAATGGAATGAAATCATCCATACCGGCCTGCTTCCACCATGCCCTGCTGACAGGAAGGATATCAGCAAAACTACCTTCTCTTCGATCATGGACATGCGGCAGCAGAATATCCTAGCGAGTTCTATGTCGCACACAAAACTCAGTTTGACTCTACGAAGGAAGATAAGAATGGAGCACAATAAGGAAAATCGTCGTGGAACATCCTGCACCTCCTCGCGTGCAGACAGCATCAAGTCGAAGAACGTTTTATCTGCATTTGGCGAGAATGCCAAGGCGCCTGCGATACCATCTTCTGCAGTCAAAGCTGTTCCATTGAGAAATGACACCAAGACCGATGTAACTGCCCAGCGCAGATGTCACTTCCAGTATGCTGAATCCGGAAAGCCCCCGTCATCAGCCTCCTGCCAATTGTTGGCAGATGGCAGAGTTCTGATCCAAGTGCACCGCAATCATCAGCGGCAATTTACTTTTCTTCACCCTGGAGATATAAGGGTGGCCAAAGAAAGGGATAACTCACAATCCTTACGACTATGCTCAAAGCTAACAAACAAGAATTCTACATGGAAATTTTGCACACAGCAGGAGAGGAATGAATGGATGCAAATTCTTCGATCTAATGGAGCTTCATATGACCACGACGCTCGTTTTGTTGAGTGGAATCTGAAACTGGAAGATGTTGTGTTATTCACCGATTGAGAATAATTCAATAAATATTCTTTCTTTCACATTTTTTCCGTGAGCCTCGTTGAATTCCAGCTCAACGTATCTGATCGTCGAAGTTTAACCCCTCGGCGAGTGCTCTTGACCTCCCATACAAACACAAGTATGCAATGGGCCCCTCTGACCCTCCTGAAGTCTTCTTCACTTCTTCTTCAGGATGCAATGAGATCTGTTGGCAGCTGATCAGCGGGGACAGGGTCTTGTACCATTACCTTCTCATCGTCAAACTTGAGCCACATGGGCTGCAGTGCGCTTCTGGGAGAAGCTCTTTCCATGATGCCTGCATCAACCAAACAAGTGACTGGTTCTATCAGAGGATCAGGTCATGCGCCGACCTGTCTTGATCCAAGCGATGTAGTGACCAGCGTCCGCAAATCGACCTTGATGAGTGAGCACTGCACGGAGCTCGTAGATGGAAGAAAGAGGTCGCCTGATGGATCAGCCTCAACTTGCCATTTCATTTCTCAAGTTGTTGTCTTACGAGGAACAGCCTTCGAGCCTGTCGCCTTGTGAAGATGTCTTGTTGTTGGTGTTGGTGTTCGCGGATGTAGAATTTGCTGGAATTTCATCCTCCCTTCTCACAGCCGGTGAGCAAGATAAATCAAACCAGGTTCTTTGAATCACATTTCGTCTCCGTAGCCAAACTGATCGTCATCCTCTTCATTCTTTGAAAGTCACGTATCAAGATTTGTCTCATAGAGTTCAGCATCAATGGACCTGCTCGTTCAGGCTTCGACCAGAAGCGAGGGCAGACTAAAAAATCACGTTCAAGTTGATCCCGGGAATGGAACAGTTACCTTGAGACGCTCTGCCTCTGCTATTTCATTCTGAATTTCTTCTTGCTCGAGCTCGGCCCACCTGAGCGGCTGTTTGAATGTACAGGAGATCAAGGGCAATTTTCCTCTCACTTGCGTTCATTCTCGTCAACTTCCCCGTCTCCCCAGATCTGAAAATTCTTCTGTCAGCCCAATCCCCACACCACCATTTGGTGGCCCTACAGGATGTGACTGGAGGTATGAAGCTTTCTGCTCGGCTAGGCTGCGAGCAATCGGATTTTTCAACTCTGGGCTGCAGTATGGCAACAGATCGAGAATCTAGGAGAAATGATTTCTGAGGTCAAGCAAAAGAATCGTGCAATATGGAGGCGTCTTACAACAGGAAAGTGCACGTCACGGCATATCTTAGCCTTCTTTTGGGTATCCTAGAAAGAAGAAGATTACATCACAGGCAGCAGTCTCTTCGATACTTCACATTTCTCCAGAAGAATCGAACGAAGTGCACAAACAGGTAAGGGGGGAGTTCAGTGATCTGTATAAATACAAATATCATAAAATTTCAACCAACCATGAAGGCTGTCACCTCAGTAGACACATTGTATGTGGCATCAACTCTGAAGCAAGGTCATGCTGAGCTCTGTAGCCATTCTTCAAGGCTTACCCTGTTGCCGTTGAATGCTTCTGGATCTCGTAACTAAATGTCTGCCAGGAAAACTCAGCGAGAAAGTTTTCGATGCTCACAAACCTTTTGTATGCTATCGTGAATTGTGTTAGTCTTTGCGTCAATGATAAGAGGCAACCGCATGGTTGTTTCCTTCTGATTGATGTCCCAAACAATCGATCAGTGCTAATTGTGGACATGTCTTGTCTTACAATGACTGATTCTTCAGGGATATTTGGATCCGAATTCTGAATCTTTTTTTTCAATCCTATTTGAAACAGCTCACGGATTAGGCACTTGTTTTTCTTGCCCGGGAATTGACCAATCAATGCCTGCATACGGTGAACGAAAGTTTACACACGGACGTGTTCACAATGTGATTACCTGTAACATGGTTGACAGACATTCTTCTGCATCCTGTTGAGCAGGGCCCATCATGCCGACCTCTGCAAATTGTGGAGCATAATTGCGTAGGTGGTGCACCATAGTGAGAGGCGAGACTGATTCCTTGCGTTCTGTGAGCTCCATGAACAACAACTTCATCGCTTCTATCAAATTCTGCGACAGCGCATGCGATCGAGACTCCTGCATAGGCTCAAAATTGCAAATTGCCTTGAGCAGCTCGGGGACACAGCGAAACATCTGCAAAGCAGACGCCATGTAGCATGTGTTGCCCAAGTTTTCTAAACCGATCGGCGTGCGAGCGCTCATCTTCCATCCCCATGCACACATCTCATACAACAATCTCTGCTCAGATGGAACTTCATCATCTAAATAATCATCTTCAGCTGAGTCGTCATCTTCGTCAAATTCGACCTCCTTTCCTGCCACTCAAGATTATTTCAGCAACAAAAACAAGCATACGATTGACCTTTATTCTCCTCATATTCTCGTGCAACTTGAGCATTTCGTTCCTTATCAATCTTAGCCTGCTCGATTGAATCAAGAACCGCTTCTCTTGCACTTGCCGCCCATGCACGAATGGCATATTTCCTGTAATTATCTGTAAAATTTTTGAAGAATGGAGCGTCGTCAAATTTAGCCCTGGAGGATCCATCAAGTGTTTGTATTTTTGAAATGTCTCATCGTTGGTCAAGAAGTCTGTTTCTACAATGACTCTCGTGCCTTCTTCAACAAGTTCTTGTGCTTTCCTGTACGAAAGACCAACGGCTTGACATTCTTCTTCGATTTCATTTTCGATTTCGTTTAGCCTTTTCTCAGCCTCTTCTTCTTGCTGTTGTTTTGTCACATTCCTCTTCATCTCTTCAGCTCTAGCTGCATACTCCTTCGTGGCTATTCGCCAGTTTCTTGTAAGGTTCATCCAGTTTCGCAGCAAAACTCTATCTTCATCAGTGAAATCCTGTAGCCTTTTTGACCATAATTCCTTAGGCAATGTCAGCGGCGTCTCGTGAGGGACAGATATTTGAGAGGTAAAGGCATCTTTCATGGCAACAGAGATCTCATTTTGCTCTAGAGTCGTCATTTTCACATCAGTGCGAGCATCCTTCCCGTCTCCCATGATCTCCTCTATTGACATCTTGTCGATCATTTCTGCTAGCGGATCGCCCAGCGCAGTCTTGTGAATGAATGATTTGTAGGTATTTGCAGGGATTCTTTTTTCAGCACCCATCTCCACATCTAAGTCATCTTCTTCTTTCACTCTGCTGGGTTCGCCGTACATGATGAGGGTCTGTCCTGGTTTGAGGTCAAGGTCCTTCAGGTCGGCACCTGCTCCTGGCGTGTAAACTCCCAGAAGATGCTGAGCATCAGGTTTGACGTTGGTCATCGTGTACAGCTGAGACTTCAAGACATCCACGGGATAGTCGAGATTTACAGAGAGCTCCAACGTCTCTAGCTTCCACTTCACAAAAATGTCGATGACTGTCGGAGGGCTGCTCGCGTTGGTTGCATTAGGTCCAGTCATTGAGACACTGTCAAGCTCCATGCAGTCGTCACCGCCTCGGAGGGAAAGCAGAGAAGTTCTTCTTGAGGCCAAGCTTTGCAGCCGCATAGAGGGGTAGACATTGAATGATCTTTTACGAAGTCCATCACAGTTGTGCACGAGCGATCCAAGTAGGAAAAATGTAACAAAGCATGCTACTCGAGACATTACACACTTCATAGATCTGGGGTTGAATAAAAGATGCCTACACACGTATGCTAATTTTCTGCTTCCTAGTACTTCATAGCAACCGTTCAAATAAGTCCTTCGCCGGATTTTTAACGACCTGCTGTATATTTTTCTGAATTGCACCTGATTTTAGTTTGAGTTTGTAGGCATGTGATTGAGAGTTGATTGCTCTAGCTGTCTGTCAAGCAAACATGTTGATTGAGAGTCGATTGCTCTAGCTGTCTGTCAAGCAAACATGTCATCTCAACAAAGGTTGTCTGCTACACTTGCTTGCTGATTCTTCTCGCCTGCCACATGCGGCTGCTCGCCTTCTAAAACCAAACTAAACCTGCGCAGTTCAAAACGCCGGAGTTGATCGTGGCTGTTAGCTAGCACTGCATGCCGGATCATGCAAGGGAGCATGAAAGGACAGACAGGGATCCGCGTGAGGTAAGATGGTATCAGTGCTTGCTTGTACGCTGATGACATGCCTCAAATTTATTCACTGCTCATCTTGGATGTGATGCCTAACACTGAGGCCTTTCATTTCGATGTGGCAGGTAGATTCGTCGGATAAGCCAGTCGACTCGTCAAACGATGAGTTTGCGCACGAGAACTTGCTGGCAGAGTTCTCATCCAAGTTTCATCTGTTTAGGTGAGGCCGCATGCTGTGTGATTCCTTCCTTCCATCACTCCCGACGTTTCGTTGCTTGATCAGCTGCTGACGCAGGCAAGTGGAAGAAAACAAGAACATGGAGGCTTACGAGCACGGGCTTATCATCCGTGAGGTGAAGTGTAATGCTTTGAGTTGACAGCTTTTTCTTATTGGCTCTCCTAGGATATTCAAAACATCCTTCACAAGTTCAGAGACCGAGACAGGTCAGCTCTCTGCTCCCCTAGACTGACTGAGCATTCGCTTCTTGGTCAGACCCTGCCATATCTGCATCTTCGGGCTTATGGGCCATGGAAAGGTACATTGACTATCTGCATGAAGCGCATGTGATGGTTGTGGCAAAGTCAAGATTCATCAACCTGCTGTTGACGGGATTGAGCAGACAGCCCGTCACCTCCTCTGCCTCGGATGATCGTGGTAGCTCTTGGCTCTCGCCCCGCCTCTTGCTCTCACTTCAGTCACAAGCAGATGGTGAGGACTACGTGAGGGTTGTCAATGAAGTGCCAAGCGGTTCAGGTAAGCACGACTTGGTTGACTACCTCGATGACGCGACTCAAGGATCTACGACTCGTTCCTACTCAAAGTATGCGCTGCCATTGCTTGCTACCCAAGGGCTCGGACGGTCTGCATGAAGGCTTGAAATATGTTGGAATCACTCTCCTCGCTGCGCAGAAGTATGTTTTTTGTGGTAGACACAATCGGGGTCAAATTCAACGATGAATTTCGACCAACTAAGGTCAGTGAAATTGATTATCTGCTTTGGTTTGCTCTGATCGGACAAGCAACAATGAGACATGAAATATGATTCTTGTTTTGCAGAGTGAACTTGACGCTGAGTTCACTTTGGTTAAGAGTCAACTTAAGTCGTTAGACTTTAGAAAGCGAGTGGGGGTAAGCTCTTATGTTTGTCTTGTACTCAAGCAGTTTTCTTTCTTGTCCTTTCACACAGCTTCTCCTCCTGTCCTCTCCATTGCTCGTTCCCAGTCAATATCTTTGGATGGATCTCCTTTCCCCGTCACTTAATTCTTTCTCCCACCTTTTGCTCTTCTTGCCTGTCTTTCATCTACCTCGTTCCAACTCATTCCAAATACCGATTGCCTCCTACTTCACGTTTCTTCTCGTGTGCTCTGACGTCCAACAGGTAGTCAACGAGGTTCTGCCTTGCGCAGGGCCAAACGCTGTCAACGTCATGAAGGTATTTTGTTCCACTGTAACTCTAAACCCTAAACCCGAATTGCTTGTTAGGGAGAGGACGTCATGCAGATACGAATGGAAGACGATCGTTGGTGGAATTTATCAACTCTTTCCGATTTTCTTTGGAGCAAGGTTGCTGTTCACACTTGCTGAGCTTTTGCATCCTAATTGCTCTCTTCAAGACGGGTCTGCGACTCCCTGGAGTTCCTATCGCGCTGCATCAGTGCCTTCCTGTGTTAGTTTTGCTTGTGCTGCGGCATTTCGTTGCTATCGGAAGTTCACGTACATGCCTGGCTCTTGCAGAGGTCAAATCTCCTCTGAGCCCAAGGCAACAATCGTGCTCCGTGGAGGTCATGGTGAGGGTGGAGGAGGAAGAGAGACTATCCTGAAATGCTCCTAGTGATTCGGAGTGTCCCGATCTCAAAGCTGGCGGACCCCGATGGTGTTAACTGGGTGAGCTATCGCTGGTCGTAGAAGCGAAACACGATGACGGAGCTGCAGACGTACACCGAGGATGAGGGTTTCAAAGACAGGCTCGCCACTGTTTCCGTCTACAATGACGATGACAAGTCCACAGGCGAGGATACTACAGGAGGATCATGCACGTAATTCAGGTAATCACCTGGGGGAGGAGCCTGAGAACTTGAGAGAGGCAGTAGATGAGGTGAAGGAAGGGGCAACCGTGAAGGCTGGAGTAAGATTCACTTTAGAATTGAACAGGGCTGGAAGTCGTTCGCACCAAGATGTCAGTCTGTCATGCTAGTTGTGAATGCGCATCAGGTTTCTCCTTTCCGTCAAATCATCCGACTATCGCCTTTTCCCTCTTTCTTCTTTCCTTGTCGGGGTCTCTAGTTCTTCTGTTCCCTATCTCGCTGACTTGTTCCTCACATCGCTTTCTTTTAGCAAATTCCACTTTCTGTGTTTCATCGCTGGAGAAGAACGTTTCGCGACGCCGGCTTTGACGTGTTGCCCTTTTCTTTGAGCTTTGAACTGAAGTAATTGCAGGATGTTCCAATTGTCGCCACTCATAGCGACGTTGTCAGCATCTTCGGTGAGCAGGAAGCTCCAGCCGAGGTAACCTCTGATTTTTGCCTCTTTTGATTTGGTCTTTGTTCTGTTTCTGCTACATGCTTTCTTTTGCTTTTTTATGTTATTTCCAGGCCGCGAAGATTCAGCGCTTCCTTGGCTCTTTACCAAACTTCTCGTACCACGGGCAGCATAAGATTTACTTTGTAGAGAACTACAACGAGGAGGAGCAGGAGCAGCAGAGGTGGGAGGAGGTGATCCATGTATCCATATGACCGTACTGTTAATCTCAGGAGGTGGCTAAGCGAAGTTGGAGCCCTTGATTCCTTTAGCCATGCGGCTAGCTATGCGCAGGTACAGGAGGTGGATGGAAAAGGAGGAAGGGGAGGGAACAGAGGGGCAAGTAAGCAGATTGAAAAGTTGACTGGTTTGCAGCTGCGAGAGAGGTATGGCCATAGCGCAGGAGGAGTGAGCAATATGGCGACAGGCTTCCTGGTAAGATTGATGGACTATTCTCTGTGAATGAGTGGATGAAGGTGGTGGGAGGGGCTGCACTCCTCGCATTTCGCTTGCGCTTTTCAGTCGTGCGAGCATGTACAGATTTGTTCTCGTCCATGGCAAGACTGAGAAGCAGAAGAAAGAAAAAATGAAATTCAGCAAGGGACATAAAAGTTTCTCCCGCTCCAATACCTCCTCACAGTCCTTCTCTAACTTAGTAAGTCTAAGTTCAACGGTTTAGGATTTACCGTTTCCGTTTACCTGGTTTAGGGTTCAGGGTTTAGGGACGGTTCAGCGCCGGGCCCAGTATTTCAGGTGGCAGCCGCCGGGCCCTAGTATTTTCAGGCAGCCCCGGTTATTTCAAACAGCCCCGGGTATTTCAGGCAGCCCCGGGTACCTGCAGTGCCTTGGTACTCGAAGCCTGCCAGCGGCCGGGTAAAGCATTAAGACCGGCCCGCAGCTTTCTAGGCCTTTACTCAAAGTTAAGTTAAAAATCAGTACGAGGAAAATCAGGAGAGTCGAGGAGGCTTGACCCTGACACTGTCGCACAGGCCAAACGGCGAGAAGAGAAAAGACAGCGAGAACCAAACCCAATCCTGCCGACTGCTGTCCCCCAAACTTAACTGAGGGTTTAGGGTTTAGGGTTTAGGGTTTAGGGTTTAGGGTTTAGGGTTTAGGGTTTAGGAGCGCCGGTTATTTCAGGCAGCGCCGGTTATTTCAGGCAGCGCCGGTTATTTCAGGCAGCGCCGGTTATTTCAGGCAGCGCCGGTTATTTCAGGCTGCGCCGGTTATTTCAGGCACCATGGCTGCACGCGTGGTGTAGGGGAAGCTGCCAGGGCGCCAAGGAAGCTGCAAGCGAGAGGTTTGTATACTTCAAATAGCTTTCTAAGTATGGTTCTTCAGTATGATGAAAATGTTCGCAACCTGCTGTATCGGAGATCATGCCAATACACGCAGAGCGGACTTGTGGATGCCTCTGTCCTCGAAGCTGATCTCGTCGAGAGGGTGAAGAGCTTCGCGAAGCGTTATCCGAACAGCAGGACAGCCCAGGCTTGCAAGGCTGTGGAGGGATGCACCCCCGACGCTATCGCAGAAGCCATCCGCTCGACATGTCAGCAGGCACGACGTGAGCTTCTGCAAGAAGCGATGACTGGATGGAGTGACGCATCCAGAGAGTGGTTTATGCAGCAGATTGAAGAAGCCAAGAAGGAGAAGGTCGAGACATACACCGCCTCAGCAGGCAACGAGGTGACTTCCTTCATCTCCATGACTCTCCTGGGCATCTCCTCGGTGTATGTCAACCATGAAGAAAAGCTGAAGAAGAAATTTGAAGAGATCGGACTGATCGTAGACTCAGTGCAAGAGAGTAAAGC